CCATGCCAAGACCTGTGGAGGGTTATGGTATCTGAAGTACAGTTTTGCATCCCATCTTTTCTCTCCTGTWTCCCTTAAGCAGGCAACCAGCACTGACATTTGCATTGTTTGATTGTAATTAGCGATATTTGTCATCATTTGGTATGTTCAACTAAATGTAAGCTAGCATAATAAACTAGAACAAAGGGAATGAAGAAATAAAATGTTGACAGCTATCTCTTAGCAACCACAATGACCAGAGTAAAGATTTGAAAACATTGCTGTTTCTTAAGGCAAAAAAAAAAGTAATCTCTTTTTTTTTTTTTTTTTTGCAATGACTTCAAGAGATTCCAATTTTCATTGAGTAGTACTTAATGATTTTGCTACCTCTGCTTTTCCACATGTTGGGATGTGGACAGGCTTGCAATCTCAAGGCTACATATGCTTGCCCTGGCAAGATTGCTGAAGTGCTGATTTAACGACTGATGTTGCCTGGAGCAATGTGTGCTTCTACAAAACTGTGGGAAACAGTTTTATGTTATATTAATGTGTGTAAGGAAGCCRTTTCTGATGGTGTATAAGTTGCAACAAGAAGCAAGCTTAACAGTGTTCCTGTTTTTCTATTGTTGTGAACCGGAGCAAAGTTGGTAAGAAATAAATTATGTCTCGGATGGAGAAGGGACTTGTGTTTGAGGAAAAAGCCCCAGTATTTGGATTATTCTTTTTTTCTGTGCTTTAAATTATGTCTACATTTGTTTTTATTCAGATAACCYCTAGTGAAAGTCATGGCTTGTTCTATATGTTAAATGCTTTCYGCTTGTCATCTTTGTTCCATGAATTGGCTAATTTAGAGGAAGGAAATTTATTTTTCTTTCTCCCCTGTCAATTGACTGCTCTCTAGAAATGAAATAAAGCTAACCAACAGAACTGCAGACTACAAGTGCACGACCACTAAAAACTCAGGTTTTCGGAAGGAAGATCTGACCAGTAATTTTTCAGGGATGTAGCATCAGCTGCCAAAACCTGTCTCCTGATGATTCACCAGCTAAGAAAAAGTAGTTAGTTTTGAAAATTGGAAGAGCAGGATGTGAGACAGGAAGGGAATCCTTTCTCTTTTCCATCCTTCTATTAGGAAGGTTCTGTTCAGAACAATGAATAAAGTTTTGAGACAGTTTTCCAGCATTGACTTCATTTGATGCTCTTGGCAGCATTAGGTTCATGTTTGGCCTCGATCTTAAAGATCCTTTTCAACCCACATGATTCTGTAACTTGCTGAAGTTGTTGCACCTCTATGTTGTATTTCACAAAAGACTTTGAAGAATCCTTTGGGTAACAKAAATATGAAAAGAACAAACAGCATGTGTATTAATACCGGTATTATGTGTTACTCTTGTTTATAGAAGGGCTCATAGAAGCCCAGTTGCCTTCTTGTGAATTTCCTATTGAGTTTTTAATCTGTTTTTTAAGTTATAGATACATTTTAGTCCCTTGACTAAGGGGCTTTAAATGGAGTTCATACGAGACAGCTCTGAAATGTCCTTTGGATTCTAGGTTCAATGAAGATTTAAGGATTTAGTGGCTGAGGGTTTGCTTCCATAATATTGATTATTGAGATAACAGTGTTGCCATTGATGTTCAGTCTTTGGACACGGTGTATCAAATTTACTCACTGAAGAAGGATCTGGAGTTTTCGCTGTAATAATGTATTTTTTCCATATACTGGTAACTATAGAAGGGTTCTGTTAAATTCCTTGTGTCTTTTTTTTTTTTTTCTTTTAAGTGGGTGAGATAATTGGAAAGTGAATGAATAATAGGAGAATTTAAAGAGTGAATAGTTTTTGCTGGGCCTGTTGCTTACAGCAAAGAGTGGACTAATTCATTTTCCTAATAAGGCTGCTCTGGAAGTTGGAATGTTTTGAATTGCATTAAATGTCATGAAAGTATTCATCGGAGAGGATCGGCTTGTGGTATGTTTAGACAGCAAATTTGATCATGTTTGGTCAAAATGAGCTGTTTACACAGGCTAAATATAGCTGGGTTTTTTTTGTTCCCCTCCAGGAAAGAATAAATGACTTCAATGTAGAAGCTGTGCAAAAAATTTGTGCACTTTTATTTTCCATAATGCCTGCAGCTTCTGTTTATGTTGTTTGTAATAATTCATATGAAGTTTGATACAGTAACCATTTATCAAGGTCTTTTGTGTGAGTTGTTTATTATAAGCCTGAATACTGAGCTGTTAGATCTTTGCTTTGTTTGTATGTTATTGGCGGTATTGCATAAACTAATACCCTGAACTGCTAGTTTTAAATCATTCAGAAAATACCATACTTCAAGCCATCCTGCTTTTTCAAGTAAGTAGTAACAGGGCAAGTGTGTCATCTCATTCTGAAAACCTTTATCATCAGTTATTCATACATTCAATAGGACCAAACCTGCATGAAATACTAGTATGTTTAATTGCTAGGTGGCAAGTGAAGTGCTAATAGCTAAGAAATGTACATAGTTCTGCAGTTTAATTACTTTTTGGCTGTGCAAGTCAGTGGTAGCCATGAAAATATTGTGGGAAATWGCCCTGAAGGAAGAATTTTCTTAGATGTGTGTGTTGTGTATGTTTTGCTTTTCAGCTTGCAGTGTGCATTTCCTTTTGTCCTGTCTTGTGTAAACACCATGCATTTTTCTCATTATGATCTTGGTGGCTCAGTTTGSTGGGTGAGCATTTTCCTCTTACGATATGGGATAAATCACAGATTTTAGTCTGATTATGGTCTGAAGTCAACAAGGCCAAGTTAAACTGTTTTAAGTATGTCTGGGGCATACAAATTTATGTCCTTGTTTCAAGTATGTTTGCAGGAAAAAATGTTATGTTGTCTGTCTGTTTAAAAGTAACATCATGAACATTTTGGTTATCAAGCTTTTTTCCCACCCCTTTTTTTTCTTTTTGTATGATATTTTTGAAGATGAATTTTGAAAAATATGTCTTCCAATCATCTGGTAGTAGTGGCTTGAAATAATTTTTGCTTAGTGCTGTGTTGATGAATATGGAAACAATGTCATYCATTCCAAACTCAAATTTGATTATTTTATAAAAATAGAAGGAAAATAAGTGTGTTCCTTTTATGAGACTTAAACTAAAGTCCAGCATTAGTGAAGTTTTTTTCTAAAGTGTGAAATGTAGTGGTRAATAATGAGTGTTTTCATAATTCTTACTGTTGGATCAGCTTAATAAATACATAAAACATGTCAAGTTACTTTATAAAAAATTAATAGGTATGCCTAAGATAGAGATGCGCATTTTCTTCTAACTCTGGTCTTAAAAAAGAAAGACAAGCTTCCATATGTATTGGCATTTTTTTCTCCCTTCTTGTTGCTTTTGTTGCTGCAAATTGACAACTCTGCAATTAGGAGTGATTAATGATGCACCCCCGCGCTGTGGAGGGCCAGGGGTCAGGCTTTCATGGGCTGCACACTGTGGGAAAGGGGAGAAGAGACCTGTTCCTCAGAGCAGACAAAACCCTCCCTCTGTTGAGAATTGCTGTTGATGTGGACATAATGTGTGTCAGCAGCGATGCCCGGCTGGGGAAGGCAAAGTGCAGAAGACAGAAGATCATCTTCTTGTGCTATGCATTTTTTTCCTTTATGTTTTCCTTTTTTTTTTTCTTTTCCTGCCAGCATGACATGGGGTATATATATATTTCCCTTTTTGTAAGATACATACTGATTCTTGTTGCTGGAATCCGATGAGCTCTGAGGGCCAAATGACTTAGAGGGAAGGAATAAACTTCGGGAACAAAATAATTCAAAGAAGGGGGGGCGGGAGGGAGATCACAAAATGGAAAATAAGAAGAGTTGTTAAAGGGAACAAGTCTTCCTAATTCGATTGTAGTTGTCCATGTTTTTCTGGTAAAAACTGAAAAGTTGGTTAATACAGTAGAAGTGATTTTAAAACTTAGCCTGTGTTAGCTGATATCCAGTTAAATGAACATTTTGCCTCCGTAGCAGATTATCTTTTGGAAATGAGAATCCAGCTTCAGTTTTTCAAAGCCTTGCTCAGAAAATGCTTTGGGAGTCAGGGTTATGTGATTTCAGGCAGGGTGTATTCTGGCTCTTGTATCTCTGAGCAGCTACTAAATACAGTGACAAGGRTTTTAAAATGTGTCAAAAAGCCAATTTTCTATCAGAACAGCATGAAAACACTCACGTGTATCAGCAGTGTTTGCAAACAAGATATTACTRTATCAGATTTTTGCTGGGTTTTAAAATTCTTTTTTCATTTGTGCATGTGTATTTTTGCATATATGTGAATCTGAAAAAAAACCCCACTTGAGTGAGATGCCTTTTACCTATAACACATAAACATTTCAATTTAGGAATAACAAAATCTGTCACTTCTTTATCTACTTAAATCCTCTTCAGTGCCATATTTCCTTTCCTTCCTGCCACCCCATAGTAGTTTCAATGTGCCCATTGTTTGGGGAAATCCTTTTGCCTTCTACTATAGAATTCAGGTGACATTAACCTTATTTTTGAAAACCAAAGACTGTGTAAGAAAGTTTTTGTGTTATCTAACTTGCCAAGTTCTTCAGGATGGTTTGTGTTGTTCTAAAAGAAAGTGTTCTGTTTTCAGCCTGTATACTGGATAAGCAGTATTTAAAATGCAATTTATCTGACCWTAGCCTTGGAGTTATGTGACGATTTCTTGTGACAGAATGGAAAACAGAAAACAAACTGAGCTGAAATTTCTGAACTGATGATATAGAATTATGAATGTATAAGAAAATAGTACTTGATGCTATATTTTAGAATTTCTAATATTGTAACTAGACAAATTAATTCAGCCTTTTCCTTGTGTTAACAACAGTGTTGTAGATTTAACTGGAATACTTCTTGTTTCCTTTAGAGGAAACAAAATTAAATGTTTTATATATCTATGTCTATGGGTAGATGTGGTGCGTAGAACAGGGGAATGCTAAACATTAAAGAATTTGGTTTTTACGATTATGGTTATGTTTTTTCTTTTCCAGAGTGTCTTCTATACAGAAACCAGATATTATTCATGTGCCAAAGGTATGTTCATTATCACAACCAAGAAATGTAGCATGTGGCACTAAATGATACCCATCTGTCAAACCCTGTCATTGATAAGCACTGTCATTCAAACTTTCCTTTCAGTAAAACATGCTTGTTTTCCATGTGTTACATTAAGAGTATTGCAGCATTTGGATCTTTGATTACCCTTTTTCCTCTTCTAAAAAAGAATGGAGAGACCTGGAAATGGTTATCAAAAAGAAAAAAAAAAGGCGAATAAATGTTATTCTCCAACTCTTAGAACTTTTTCTTTTTAAAGATATTATGGTGTTTTCCCTCTGTACCTAAGAGAGAAACAGAAGCAGGTAGAACTTTTTGGCAGTGTTTTTAAATTTTTGGTGGAGATTCGTTTATTTTAATGGACACTGAAATCTTTCTTTGAGAGAAGGTTATCAAAATATTACAATTTCAGAGAACAAGTCTCCTCACTTTCCTTAAAGCACTGGAGAATTATTTGTTCTTGAGTTCTTCTAATGTTTTATTCTATGCAACAGTTTCAAACCCTTCTTTTTGATAAAAATGCTGTTTTCAAACWTGAAAATACTTATAAATAGCTTGTACGTGAAAATCCTCTCCAGTGGACATAAATAATGTGTAATATATTACTGTTCTGCTGACCATGACCTTTAAAGGCTACAGTTTGGGAACCACAATGTTAAAACATTTTGTGCTGTAATTCCCAGCACAAAAAAAAAAAACAACCAAACAAAAAAATCTGATTTCTTGAGAGTATTGACCCGACAAAGGTATGTGGGGACATTGTGGAACATCAATGTGCTCTCGTTCTGCTCTTAAAGGTCTTACCGACAGATCAGTGTGTGTATTGTGTGTGCGTACACTTGCACATACCATTTGTCTATGTGGAACGTGCATATCTCAAATTGGGTTTGAGACATGGAATGTGGATTTTTCTGAAAAAAGCTCTGGTTTCTTCCASATGGGCTGCCTGGTGGTTTTTGCAGCAGAGCGGTTTTTCAGTTTCTTTTGAATTTGATTTGTGGAGTGTCTGTTTTGGATATGCTGAGAGGAGTTAGCATTGTGGAATTTCATATTGATTGTGCATGTTTGGAGCATTCCCTCTCCTAAAATGCACGGCTCGSGTTGTTCTGCCATACATTCCATGGCTGCACTCTTGGTAAAGCTTGCTTCTCTGTGCTTCACGCTAAGTGGGTTRTCTCCCCGAGAGCAGCTAATGTCCCTGCTGAGGAATGTGCATGCGTTTGGCGTGGTTTTGTGTGTTTCTTTTTTGTTTTTCATCCCACATAGGGAGAACCCACCGAAGTAGTTAAGCCTGTGCCCATTGCCTCTGCTGTCGCACCCAAAGTCACTGCCCCGGCGAGCGTGGCTTTCAATAAGACACCGAGGCCGTTTGGAGCTGTAACCTCCTCCAAGGTCACCTCCATCCCGTCACCGTCCTCCGCCTTCACGCCGGCGCAGGYGTCGGCCGCATCCCCGTGTGCCGTGCCTGGAGTGCATGTTAACGCCAAGCCTAACGCTGAGCCGTGGCCGCCTGTGCCGGCCGCTCCTAAACCTGCAGTTCCTGTCCCACGGCAGCACGGTGCCGCCCCCAGCGCCTCGGCCGCCGACGGCGCCCAGGACGCAGCCGAGGGGCCGCGACGAGGAGGCAGAGAGAACCAGGGGGAGAGTAAACAGCAAAATGGGTAGGTGGGATTTTGGTTTTGCTGTGAGGGTCTTCCCTCACAGGAAAAAAGCCGGGCTTGTTTGAGGGCTAAGTGAAACGCAGCTTGGAGGAGTTGTTTAATCCTGATGCTTCAAAAGGCCCAGCTAGACCTTTGGTGATGGCTTTTCTCACGAGTGACATATCAGTGTCACAGCTAAATTGAACAAGGACCACAGAATGCTTTACACGATGTTTTGTATCCCCGTGTGTTCTGGACCTTACAACAAGCCTGGTGTTAATTTCAATGTATCTCACTGTGTAATTTGATGCTCAGTGCGGTCACTGGAAGCAGCAGGCACCCAAAAATGCAGAGCAGTCTGTCAAGAAGGGTCGAGGGGTGCTATGATGGCTGGGAATGGGACACTGCAAGACCAGCTGTGGSCCTGGCAGAACCAGGGGAAAAAGGTCCCAGAAGGGAGGCAAAGTGACAGATGTCTCATTACTTCTCTGCACATCAAAGGAGAAGCTTTAGGATGTTTTCTAGGAAGCTGATGGGGTTAAGTGGAGTTTTTGCAGTGCCATAGTATAARTATCTCAACTTTAAATTTTACCTTTACCCTAAACAAGCAATGCACGTTTAAAATTTGAGCAATTTCCTTATTCAAATAATTGTTTATGTTAAAGTGGGTATCAGAGACTGAACATTCAAGGACTGTGAGGAGACATAAAAGGCTTTATCTGGTRTAGCATCTAGACTAGTAAACAATAGATTAGTAAACTAAACTGAGCCCAGCAGCAGTCATGGGAACTCGGACTTGCAGCAATATTTTGACTGGGATGCCTTGGGCTCTCCCAGGAATTCCTGGGCAGAGCTTGGGAGTTGTACACCCCAGAGACTKGTTCCCAGCGCCTGCTGTGCTGCAGGGAGAGGAAGAGACTGGGCTCAAGCAGTCCCAGTTGGCTTCTGTGACCAGCAGTGGTGTCCAGCAGGTTGAATTACATAATAAAAAGGGTAGGAGGGGAGCTGTAGGTTTCTTTCCACTTTTAAGAATGTAAAACCTGGTTTAAAACCTAAAAGCTGTGGTTACTATTTTTCATCCCACAAAATAAAGGGACTGAAAGAATARGCCTTGTGCCTCTCTCCTCTGTATTCTCTCTGTGTATGAAGAGCCCTACAGAAAAGTAAACATCCATGTCAACTGAAATTATGAATAAACTGCAGTTTCAGTCGTGTTTCTAACAAGGTAAAAAAAAAAAACCAAACCTTCTTTAGGTACCTATTCCCTTTATATTTTAGCCGAATATTTTCCATATGTGGACTCACAATGCAGCTTGTATGCATTTTATGTCATCACACTGTAGTCATGGTAACTTCCAGCCCTTTCTTAAACAGATGATGGCAGGAATCTGCTCTGCATAAAGTGGTTTGAAGTCAAGAGATCCTGAGGACTTGCTCACTGCTGGTGCAGTTGTTGAATAGCACTTTGGCAAGCCCTCTTAYCTTTCCAGGAATACTGTTTCAGCAAATAACTGTGTAAGGAGTATTCAAAAGCAGCAATTAGTACTGAAAAAGAGRAACAGTAGCAACAGAATTAATTCTTCTGAAAGGAAGTGCTGCAGGCATAAAGTACACGTTTTACAATCAAGATAGGATGACTAGGTGAGCCCTGCTATGTGCCCTGCCTTACTTAGAGCATGAATAATAATGTGAAAGAGGATGAATAATCACAGCTGAGAGGTGAAGAAATCCCTGTCTCAAGGTCAGCCTTGCAGGTCTAGCTTGGAAAAGTTTGAAAACATTTCAGAGCTGTACAAACCTATTTTATTTTGCAGTCTCTTACAGTATTGTGTTTGGGCTGCCTAAGTGTCTTGCAGTTGTAAGGCATGAAACAGAAACAAGCATACAAAACCCTCTAAGGTGGTTATATTGGTCTGCTGCTACACTACTGAATTTTACATTAAAAAGTTAAATTTCTATGATGAATGCTTAAATATCTCCCTATTTAAAATAGTATTCATGAGATCTATAAAAAAAAATGAAGTTTGGAATAATTGATCAATCTGAAATAAATTCCATTTTGCTTTTGTGTTTTGTATGATTCATTTTCTCAAAACATCCCAAAAACCGACTCATATCTTGTTCATAGATGGCACTGCTTAGCAAGTGCAGTTCTTTAGACATGCACCTTGTTGTACTCGCAATTTCCTCCCTTCCTCTTGGCTTCTCTCATAAACCATTCAGAATATAAACTATTTGACCTCACTTCAGGATGGGAAAGGAAGTTTAATTTCCCTTGTTTAGTTCTGCTGTAGAAAGCAAGCATATTGCCTTCACTAGCCTGTGTGCAGTTGCACTTTTGTCAAGACCTTCTTGCCAGCTCTTGCATGAAAATGTGCCTGCTGCTTAAAACAGGTAAGGAATCCACAGACTTCACACAGCTTAACTTCAGCTGGGCTAAAATTTTCTCTTGTAGGTTCTCTTGATGATTTTAACTTTGGCTTATGTGATATATGGCTTTACCAGAGCTTGGAAACACCTGTAATATTTTAAGAAGCAAAGAATGWATTAATACATCAAATACTTTTTCTTTCCCTTGCAGATAGCAGCAGCGATAAAGTTAGTATCAACAGCACCGGACTTGAATTATGGTTATTTTTCCTATTGGAATAACCAGCATGTATTCTTGTTTTGCAAAATTATAGCTCTTACAGAGTTTCATATTTCAATTTTGCAAAACAGCTTCAGCTTTTCTTAGTGTAATAAATTGTGTCTGCATTGGACATGATGTGATTTYGCTTCTCACTGTGTTACATTTTCAGCTTATTTTTACTCTACAAAACGTGTGTGGGGTGTTTGTGTGTATTGATGAATTCTTGGTACAAGTCGGTTTATTGGTGTTGGTAATACAACTAGTAAATGGTGAAATACAATACAAAAATAAAATTGCTTTAAGAACTGTGGAATGAAGGACTAGATTCTGAATTCATACAGGAAAAGTAAAAGTATCGTCCATATACTGTGATTTGTGCGTGTTAGGMTGATAAATGATTGAGATTTTATTGGCTTGACTTTTCTCCCGCTGCCTGAAGGCTGAGTTCAGGGAGAGCCTATCTCGTTGAATTTTCCTTTGTCTCTGGCACCACCTTGTGCCTCAGTGAGTCATTGCCACTAGACTCCTAAGCCTTAAAAAAGAGACCAGTAGGACAAGAGAAGTCAGCGAGATTTTTTTCCTTGTACACTTTCAACAAATGTGAAAGACTACTTATTTCACTGTGGTGGCTGCTAAATAGTGCAAATAATTACATTTTCATGTATTTCCACATTTCTAATTACTGCTTTAACTTCCAGATGTTACTTTTGCTATTAACTTTACTTCATTTTTCTCTGTACTTCTTGTTTTCCATCCTGGAATTATCACTGCCTTTGTTTCTATACCTCTTTCTCTGTTAGTAACTTTGATATGTGATACATGCACTTCACTAATGCTGTGTGTCAATAAATCCAATATATATGTAATATATATATTGATATCATTTTGTGCCATACCTTTCACATTCTTTCAAGTATTAAGTTTTTTTTTTTTTAAGCTTAAGTTTTTACTAATGCATTCCATTGAATGGGCCTGATTCTTACTTGTTCACAGTTAACATCATTCCTCACTCATATTTTCTCCCTTTCTTCCCCAGAAATACTTTGAACCTTAAAAGTACATTGAGGAAGTAGCATTAAAAGTAAAAGTGACTTTTAAAGTTTTGTTGGGTTTTGATTTTTTATAATTATTACAAGTTTTATGTCTTATAGCTAGATTTTCAGTTTTCATCCTATAAATTATGTAAAAAGTAATTTACATTTAGAGGCTCTTATAGATGAATGCTTTGGAATAAGAAATGTAGAATTTAGGAGTAATTTATAGGGTTTGAATCTTCTTTTCCCTTTTCCCAAACTGACCAGTTCCATTACATGTTCTTTACATTGCTTGCTGGAATCAAGGCTTTTAAATCCGGTGTTCTGGCAAGTTTGATAGTGCGAGGATTGATAATGACACATAGGTTACTGTACAGAAAATTTCCAGATGGAACAATCATCCCACTTTTTTYTTACTTTCAAAGAGAGTATCTCCTCATTCTGCCCCAAACCATGGCCATCTATGCTTTCAAATGGCCTGGTTCTGAYCTAGGCTTTGCTGAGTGTGAAAGACTTGGTGTGTCTTGGGTGGCCCTTGCATATGCACACAGCTGTGCTGTGCCCCTCGGGAGCCAGGGGAGATTTTGCCTGATCTGAGCTAGGTAGACAGCCCTGCTTTACCAAAACAAATTTCCCTCTCATCCTTGTAAAGAAATCACCAAGAGCTTAGTTAAAAGTATGGGAGTTCTGTGCAGTGGTTTTAGTGGTAGAATGAGAATATCAATATTAATTAGATTTTAGTGCCCTTTYTCTCAAAACTAATTCAGTAGAATAATTAGCTGCATTTCTATTTCAGCTTTCTGACTTTATTTCTTCTTTTCTTTTTCTGCTTTTCCTGTACATGCTGGAAAAAATTTCTCTTGCTGTCTTACTCTGTCATCTCCAAGGAAAAACCCTCCCAAACGGTAAAAGTTTAAACATGTAGATGTCTTGATAATAATTTTACTTTTTCACTGATGGAACAAGAAAAAATATTTCTGTTGGGTTAGCATAATTGTAAAGGTGTGTTTGGTTCAGAAAACTGCATCTGTGCTTAGGTGGGCATCAGCTGCTGCCTTTCTGCTTCCCAATTCAGAAGCTGCCTTTAAATACTGTGAAAAAAAGCACAACATGAGTTGTGCCTGTGCCTTTGCAGCTGCCCTGAGTGAGGTGTGGTCTCTCTAGCCTTGCACTCACTGCTGTCTCTGTCCCTGGYRCAGCCCCCCGCGGAAGCACATYGTGGATACCTACACGGAGTTCTACCACACCCCCACCCACATGGACGCCAGCAAGAAGCGGCTGATTGAGGACACGGAGGACTGGCACCCCCGGACGGGCACCACCCAGTCMCGCTCCTTCCGCATCCTCGCCCAGATCACTGGCACTGATCACAGTGAGTRCTTGGGTGCAGATGGAATTATAGCCAATGCCCCTGTGRAACTCCTGCCATTACTGARGAGTTCAGCRTCTACACATTGCTGGACATTGTTCCTGATTGAGCTGAATTAATACATCCTAGATAAATCTTAAAATCTCCATAGTACTCACAAAGATATTGACAAATATGTATTCGTTGTTTGTTTTTGCCTCTGTATCACCAATATGGTGATGCTCCTCATCAAAYTTAATGCTTCAGAAAAATTAGGCGTTTTCTTTGTCAGTCTTACAAAATATGTGATCTGCAATGATGCAGGCAATCAGAAACATAAATCTGTAATTCCTCAGTTTATTCCCAGTTTGTGTTTCCATTGTCTGCATAGGCTGTGATACTATTACATATATTGGGGGAGTGGAGCATAAGTGATGACCTTAGCCAGTGATGTGGCTAAGGTCATTCCCAGTCATACAATTTTATGCTRAAACTTCCATTTCATTGTATACTGTCAGCTGTAATTGACTGCCTGAGATTTGTAATTTTGTGTGAAGGCCACTAAAAGTGCCATCAGGAGCTTTGATTCTTCAGCTTTTCACAGCTAACKCTGCAAAAAAGAAGCCATTGAGGAAATTGGACCTCCCCTCGAGGGGCAGATTTGATTAAATCAGCTATTTTTAGAAGCCAGTGATAACATCTTCCAAAATAAGGGTTATTGTCTGTGTGTATTAAATATTCTGAATTTGGACCTGATTGATTTGTGGTCCTGTGTTAGTCTACTAATGATCATTGCCTATGTTCAATTCCCTTCATCAGTGCTTGTAAGGGAAGACAGAGTATGGGACCTGAACATCAAGGAACATGTTGTCCAGTAAAGATGAATTTATCATGTTGACAAATGCTGTAAGAAAATTACTGCAGCTAGATTTACCAGTCTTAAAATCAGGACTGTGAATTTACATTATCCCTTGTGCAGACCTCTAGAACCTTGGTGGGAAATGGCCTGGCTGCAAACAGACACTGGGATTATCACTTGATATAAACCCCTTGGATGTTCATCCAGAAGAAATGCCTCCTAACTTCCATTCATCTTCACCTTCTCAAATCACCTTTTTCAATGCCAGCATGGAGAGTAGGCCAAGGGGAGGGGMAGAGACCAGCAGAGCCACTTTTCAGCAGTCCTACTAGCAAAGGGGCTCTTGAAGTTTATAGGCATAACTCATTTCCATTGGGTTGTATTTAGAATCAAAGAATTCTGAAGAGCCTTGTTGTAATTTCTTGCTGTGAATGCATTGGCATGGGAGAGAATCTCAGTGTTGTGATACAATGTCTTCAGTGCCTTAGAAAATAAAAATTTTCTGTTTTCCTGCAGTGAAAGAACCAGAAAACGAAGCTGGAAAGAAGGCTAAGTAAGTTGATGTTTTACATTTTTATTACTTTAATACTTTGCATGTTTTGATTCTTAACTTGTTGTGTTTGTTGCATTTGTGTGACATCTGGGTGTTTTTAAAACGTTCATTTTTGCCTTTTATTTCAGCATGTGAAAATCAAGATATTTTTTTCCATAGACAAACCTTTTTAAAAGCTGTTGGTGCAGTCCAGTAGTAATGTTTGTGAAGGAGATTGTGCAAAGGTTTTGTGTAAAGTTGGATTGATTTGGTTGCCTGTAYGAGGTCATCTTGTTGATGTGCKTTCCTTTTCCRAGTCTAACCAGGCATTTTTGATTTGCAAGTGTGGATCTGATTGCAAGACATAGCTGGRAAGTATTGTTGTTCTGGCTGCAAGTGAGGGTCAGCTGTCTCCTTGCTTTGGTATAAGCATTGTTCAAAATGAGCACCAACCCAGTGGCTAAAGCTGATGGTTCTCCAAGTTAGTGAGACTTTCTCTACTGAGCTTGACTAACACTGGATCCAGCTTTTTGACAGAGAGGAAGGCAGTGTGGTAGGAATAATGCATGGAGTTTGCATGCTCACTTGTKAAACTGCTTGAGACAAACTTTCTTTCTTTCTTTTCTTATTTTTCTTCTGTCACTTCTTTTCACAGGGAAAAGGTTCCCATCCACGCCCTTAGCCCCAAATATACAAAATTGCGTGACTGGCACCATGAAGTCTCAGCACGTGTTCTTAATGTCCAGTGATTTTACCCAAGTTGCAAAAGCAAAATACAAACACTTCCTTCCTTTCTTCTTTTCCATCTGCTTTGCAAAAAARAAAAAAAGAAAAAAAAAACTAAAAAAGAAAACGTATTTCAGTAGCCTTTCTGCGACAGAAATTCTAGCCTTTTCTATACTTTTCTAACACTTTCCTACTGATGTGTAAAAAATGGGATGAMAATGTTTTTGTGCTAATCATTAGTTGACAAAAATACATATTTAAAACTTAACAACTTGGGTGGCTGAGTCTCCCAGTGTTGGGGAGGAGATGGCTGTTTCAGTTCTTTTTTCTGCCTGAAAGAAGTAATTTGCATTGCTGGGTTTGAGTTACTGTAGGCTGTTAAAAAGCAGAAGATTTTGAACAAAAGAATAAGAAATTGTATTACCTTGATTTTTGGGGCTGGCRGAAGAAGATGAAGAGGGGATTGTATGCACTTACTTCAAACTRTCATACCTACCAGGTTAATATCTTTGATTTCACTAGATTTTCAGCAGGTCAAATTTAGAGTGGTTGTAAATGTTTTACCAAGTACAGCAAGAAGACAGACTGCTTTTAAGCAAAGAAAAAAAAACCTAAAAAATATATTCAATGTTGTGAGTTGAAGTGAAAGCTCAATATAAGGATTCTGCTGCTTAGACTAGTAATATGTTCATGTTTTAGAAAACTTAAAAAAAAAGAATAATTGAGCAGCATGTTGCTGTGCAAGAGCTTCAACACATCTTCTAGCAGGAACAAGATAAGATGGTAGTATTTATTTATTACAGAGTGAAGCTTATAGGCTTTCTTGTGTTTATGAGAGCTTCACAGCCCTATGGTTCTCCTGTAAAATAATGTATTATAGTAGCTACACATTCATTAATTTATGCATTTTGAAGCTTGAAGAGTATTTTAATAAACGTTGCTTTTATCTTAGCTCTGTCTGTTTTTCTTTTGAGTCTCTCGGACTCCTTGAATAGACTTCTCATGCATGGAGCTGACATTTCATTGCACCTTCACAGCCTGTAGGAAGAGAAACAATTAAATCCCTGCTGCATAGTAGAAACAATCTGAATTGTTTAAAACTATCACAGTATTAGAGTTCCTGATCATGTTAAAAATGGGGTATGTGTGTGTGTGTTGTCAAAATTGACACAAGTTTTGCAGAAATCAGTAAAATGATTGACCCTTTTGGGAGGTTACAGGAGTAGGAATTCTACAAAGTGAAACCCATTTTTGGCTTTTGCCACACATGTTCAACCAGGTAATGTTTCAGATTTCAATCAAAGGTGAATTGTGAAGCACATGTAAAAGCCCAGCCTCWCCTAATTGCTCAGTGAGAATCATTGCAATTGGCTTGGGGTTTATGCAGCTGACCTACACCCTCCTCTGATGGAATTAATCCTGTGAACAGATGCTTCTGCAGAAGATTTGGTGGGGTTGTTTTTTTAAACTTGCCCAATGTGCAACTTGAAAGGAATAGAGCTACCTTTGGAACCATTTTAAGCTCATGTTTCCTTTTCAGATGGTTTATGCTGCTATACAGCACAGCAGTAGCTTATGGTATTTGTCATTTTGTCTTTAGGAAAAGACAAACAGAAAATGGAGACTTCAGGTAATAGATAAGTTATCTAACACTAACAGTCACCAGTGTGGATGCCTAACACTGCACAACTTGAARTACAACTAGATTTGCCCTGGTAATGATGGACCAAGAGAAATCACATCTTACACACCTTTTGGGTTAACTCCTATGGGGACAGAAGGGGAAAACATTCACTTAAATAATTTCACTGAAGAGTGTTTTGATGAGAAGTGCCATCCAGTTTGATTTCCATGCCCCCCCGCCATCACGTAACTTGGCAGTGAGTAGTGTCTTACTAAACCCAAGTGTGTTACTGTGTGCTCATACACCACAATATAATAATTTCATAGAGTACTGTATATTAAAGTAGGAATGTGAAGTATTTAAATTGTTTTGCTGGGTTTATATAATTTCTTTGTGAATGGAAAGAAACATGGATAGTTCAGAGAACGTCAGTGCAATGAACTGTGAAAGGTTAGAAAGGTTATCACTAAGACTTTCTGTCAAGTTTTCTGTTTAGGGCAGAATGGTTTGACCTCCCAAGTATTTTTAAATCCTGGAGGTGTCTTCAGGTAATGAGAATATTTTCATTTCCTCTCTAAATAATCCAGAGAATAGATTAAAATTAAACATAGTTATAGAGTCTTTTGAGGATATAAGAGTAGTTTGAGAAAGACTGCCAAATTATTAGCTTTCTAAAAATTCATAATAAAAAAGCACTAGTTCAAGAAATGTTTTATGAATGTGTGAAATGAATTTCATTTACTGCTTTAAAGATGTTGTCTCTTCACCCAGTTATCCCCACTGCACAACACTTACCTGGTGTTAAAGTTTGGACTTTGTTACTGTTTCCAAAACAATGAACTGCTTTTTCCATTTGTGGKTGAAAACCATGCCCTAGCTTATATCTGATTCCCAGATGCATCTAATCTTTGAAAAAGTATTTTGAGTGGGTTTTTTTAATATAAATAAATGTGTTTAATTTTTAGAGATCTCTTTGAAATATGAATATAACAATAACTAGAAACTTCTTTTTCATCAGTAATCCACAGTAAAATATCTCAATTTAATAATATTCAGCTTTCCAGTCAAGCATTGTCCAAGACAGATGTTTTCTGTGGTTTTTATTATTTTTTATTTCTAATCTATGACCCACTATGGATTTTTATTTGGATAAAATAGATCTGTCTCTTCAGCAGCTGGAAGGACAGGAAATAGAAAGCYCTCACTGAAATGTGTAGATTGCAGCTTTTAAATCCATTACTTAAAACTCAGAAAAGCCATATCTAGCCTTTATACAAAATTCATGTGTTTGGTAGTTGATCAGTTCTACTTTTGCAGCACCCTATTTCCAAGGTTTTTTTTTTTTTTTTAAGTTCAGTTTTAATCATTTCCTTTTAAGCACGCAGGTCCAGATTTGTTTTTGGCCTTAAATTTTAGAGTCAATTGATTGTCCTGAGTGTGTCTGGAAATTCCAGATTTGTAGTTTATTGATCAATAGCGACTGGAAAATATTTGTCCTGCTCTTGGTCAGTCCTAAAACGTGTCATAAATCATGTGTTTATTTTTCTCTCTCCTATGTTATAAATGTATGTAAAGCATACCTGCAGATCTACCTGATGGAGCAGGAATCCAGGATAGTTGTATTAATTTGAATAAAAACTCTGTAGCTACCCTGACTCTGGAGATGATACCTGCACCAGAATTTCCATCCACACCTTTATCACCTATGAGGTCTGCTCCCTGATCATTCTTAAATCTGTTACAATAGTTTTCAGCACTTAAGGCTCCCTACTTTAATGAGATATTTAATTTTGTATACTAATATAAAAAAAAAAAAAAAGGCAGCAATACCTGCCCCTGTGGCTAATTTGGTTTGCTCAAAACTTAATTGCTTTCTACCTTGTAGCTTACTGGTTTTTGTGTATTACACTGATATTTCTGACCTGCTTTTCTTGTAGTAGAGTACTTTAAGACAACATTTTCTAGATTTTTTTTTCCAATGACAACTGAATCAAAGAAAGGATAGGAAAAATACTGAGAAATATATAGTCTAATGTTCACAAAACCAACACCTCCAAAAAGCTGTAGCAAGAAGTGTATAAAGCTTTGTGGTGAATCTCACTAGCACATGTCACTTTGCATATTTTCTAAAGTTGTTTTCCATCACATAACATAATCCCAGATATATGTTTTCTGTCTTTGTAAATGTCAAATACTACTTGGCTTTCTGAGTTTAAAAGCAGSAGGAAACTCTCAACCTTCACTGAAAGTGTGATGCTTCCTGAGTGTATTTTGCATAATTTTATCCTCTTAGTTGTATTTTGCTGTAAATTCTGTGGTCTTTTTGGAGTTTTTTTTGTGTTTGGATTTTTTTTTCTTTTCAATTTACTAACACTTTCCTGCACACTGTTYCCTGTTCTGCATACTATTTTAAGTGGATTAAAAATTTCTTTCTCTGTGTGTCTTCACTTGGTTTTATTACTGTGAATGGAGCGAAAACAATGCTAGACCAGAACCTGCAGCTGCTCTTTTGCCGATAGCAGATTCCTGCCCTGGCAGTGTCCCCTCTCCCAGACTTTCTGAACATATTGCTGCACCAGCTCCTGGGAGGTAAATCATTCACAGGGGGTTTTGATTCAGTTAACAGTCCATCCTGTTCTAGCCTGCATTTGTCTGGTTTGGAGGAGAGAGGGTTGTTTGTCATTCACTTAAAATAAACTTCATTAAGCGGCTATGACTAGGGATTTTCCTGGAAATGGTAGGAGGGGGAAGGAGAAAAATTAAATAAAAATGAGGCAATTCGTGAACAGTCTTGTGGATACTAGTTAAAATAAGAAAAAATATTTAGTGTGTGTACAGTGTCAGTGGGTGTCCACCCTATCCTATGGATGCAGTAGCTTTTCAGTGGTCTCAACAACTCAAAAATGCATATGGATTTAGAAATAGAAAAGTAATTTTTTTAATTTTTTATTTAATTGATAACACAGCATTGTGCTGTGATGCCATCCAAGAAAACTAGGGAATTATATGCCAAATTTCCTGTCTCTGGCCTTGGATAGTTTTTTACTGGCACTTACCTTGGTAAATTGCTGGTGTTTTGGAGCCCATCTGCRGGTACTAGACAGCAGCAGTAATTTTGGACAGAAGACGGTGACAGTAATTTGAAGGGTTATGGTACCCTTATTGAGGGTCAGGAACATTTCCTGATGGTTTGTGTTACATTGTGCAGGAGTTTCTGAGTTCCAGGTAGCGTGTGCAGGCACTGAGTTGAAACATGAAACAAAGCTGTTCCTGTAAAAATGAGAATTAAATGAACACTGCCAGGTCCTGCCAGGCCCGAGGCAGACAYTCATGCTTGAATAAAGCATACAGGAGTGTATATATACAGGGCTTTCTGCAAATGGAAAACTAATACTAAGACTTGGAATTGACCAGTTTTAAACCTTTAAAGCAGTAGTCTCAAGTAGTCTCAAGAGAGACGAGGAGAAATCTGGCATCAAAATAAAAGTCTATTTTGTTGTCTTTTTAAGGCTTTTTTTGTTGTCTGGGAGAAGCAGGTGCTTTCGTGAGCTAATATGAGCTTAGGCAGGAAGGGGTGATGGGTGATGACAGGGGCTGAATCCTAGCTCTGCATCTGAGTCCAGCAAAAGGAAATTTAAATCTACTCTCACTCATGATCTATGGGTCTGAAATTGTTATTTGGCAAAATTCACGTAGCAAGAGAGYGGCTTTAAAATGAGAGATCAGAAAAGCAGCTATGTTCATGATGGTTCAGGATGAGAGCCACAGAATTTTTATAAATAAAATAGTAGATGCTAAGAATTTTCTGCTCAAGAAGGGCAGATATTTGAGCAGCTTCTGCAGACCTGTGGAGGGAAGGTTTAGCATTGAATGTGGAAAGGAGAACATAAATTATATATAAAGCTGTGTAGTCTGGATTCTCCTCTGAACTGAGAGGTCATCRGTGTAGGGACTATAGTCAATGTTTTTATTTTGTGACTGAACTGATGCTGCTGCTTTTGTAATGTTCTTTTGAGTGGAAAATAATAACAAATCTAATCTTCAAAACCCCCYTTTTTAAGAGAATGGCATTTACTGGAAATCTGCATGGAGTAATTCATGAGTGTTATGTCAGGCTTTTAATAAAGTGAAATTGGGCCATCCAAGGGTCAGTAAATTTGCTGTTGCTACTGAAGCCTTGCATTTGTCAAGTTGTCAAGGACTGACATAGGTCCTTATTTTCCTAATGGGCTCCATCTTTTCTTGGCTGAAGCTCTGTAAATTGTACCACCCCCTGCTTAACCACCAAGAAGGAGAAAGCTTGCTGTGAAATGTATGAGGGGTCTGGATTTGATTTCTAGATTAAAGTTGAGCTGCTTGTAAGGTAGACATCATAATGCTTTTTTTATTGTCGGTTTAGTTCTTTATTGAAAGCCTTAAGTAGTCATATGGCTGAATAACCTACTACTGTAAGTTATAGTGTATTATTACTCTGTTCTATATATTTGATGTCCTCCTGTAAGTTTAACAGTAAAATATTTAAGAGCAATTACAGCCTTTCCAGAAAGTTGCAAAAAGTCATCTTAAAAAGTAATCCTGGCAGCTTTAGACCATGTAAACCACAGAACCTGGCACTTCCTGAGAAAGTGTGTAACTAATATAAAACAGATGCCATGCCAGCAGGTCTTTAGATTCTATTTTATAGACATGCTTTTTAAAATCATACGTGCCTACTTTTATATTTTCTTTTAATGGAATTATTTCTGAAACAAAGACTTAGTATTAAATAATAGGTATTAGCCCTGATTTTTGTTGTGTGATTTCTGAACAGTGGACAACCAAAAATATTCTCTGTAGAAATTGTAATATGGGAGGAGGTCTTAGGCTGACCGAACTAAAACTGTCAGAACTTTTATGGCTGCTTCAGCATGATGACAAGCAAGAGGAAGTAAAATATGGAGAGAAATATTGCTCTCTTGTGGYGAATGCTACTTGTCCTTCTGCTTTCTGTTATTTCATAGAACTTTTGTGTGAGAGCCCTTTGGAAGTCTTAGGCAAGTGTAACCTCATCTTCCCTTCAATTGTCCAGGTTTTAAACACCAGCAGCCAAGCAGCCACAGTGATTAGGTGTCATCTCCTTACACTAGGTAGTTTCTTGTATACTGACCATGCTGTTGTTCAAGTTGTCTTTTGAGTAACTACTTTGAAATTACCCAAATGGTAATTACCAAATAGTTTGGTTTTGGGGTTAAACAAAGCACTCAAGCTTCAGCTGTAAAAGTGCCTCAAAAAATTGGTTTCAGCATGGTCTGATTCCCAGGGTGTGAGTATCTGGTTCCTAGGGAAGGAAGGAAAAAGCCCTCATCTGCTACTCACTTCTTACAAAAGGTGCAAGAATACCAGCTAGAAAGAGTTGTTCAATGCAGTTTTGTATTTTTAATCAAATGAGAAATTTCTTCTCCGTATATTGTCTCATTGTAATTACTCATGAAATTAACACCAACTAGGGAAATAACGGTGCCTGCTCCAGATGCAGTGAGCTCTTTGCTGGCGGATGAAGAACCTCCTGTCCCCAAGATGTGTGCTGTGGCCACGCAGACCACGGAGTTGCCCCTGCCTGCTGACCCAGCTGGGGGGCTGTCTTCTCCAGCCCTGCATGTGGGAACAGCCCTTGAGCTGCCTCCTGCCCTTGCCAGGTACATCTCAGACAGCTGTGTTAGAAAGGGGCAATYAGAAACTGTAATTTTACACACATTGAATCACAAAATCGTTTGGTTTGGAAAGGACCTTAAAGGTCATTTAATTCAAASACTCCTGCTGTAGGCAGGGAYGCCTCCCACTAGACCAGGTTGCTCAGGGCCSCATYCAACCTGGACATGAACATTTCCAAGGTTGGAGCACCACAGGTTCTCTGGGCAACCTTTTCTAGTGTCTCACCATCCTCAAAGTAAAGAATTCTTTCTTAATATCTAATCTGAATCTTTCCTCTTTTAGTTTAAAGCCACAAAGTTTCACCTGATTTTTTTTTTTATAATGATGCTATCATGATGGAGCAGCTGAACCTGAAAATGCTCTGGAAATTTATATAGTAATTAGAAATTCAAGTAGCTTTTAGGCTAAAGTTGTAAAAATAATTGAAAAATTAAAGCAGCCTTTTGATGGAGGAAGAAAAACAATCATGGGTAGGAGATTCAGTTGAATTTTGTTGTCAGGTGTTGGTGACATGAAGAGAATATAGTCACCCTTGCTACAAAATRCATGTTTTTATATTGTCCAATAGCCCAGAGTTTTTGGAGGAGAATACAAGCTTTAACTTGTGTGGTGATGAGACATTCAGAATTTAAGTCTTTACCAATAGGGGAGGAAAGTGCTTCCCTCAGTARTTAACAGTACAGGATATTAAACAATACCTGGTTTGTTTGTTTATGGGTAAGGAGGGCTTTAAACAGAATCCTTAAATGAAGTSCTGCTGAGCTTTAGTTAGTATTGCCAGAGGTGTAATAAATATTTGATTCAYGACTTCTTCTCTTGCTGCTTCTGGGCAGGCTTGAACCATCTCTGCCTTCTTGTGAAACAAATTCTTTCAATAAAATCTCAAGCTTTCACACTAAATCGTCTGTAAGTCATACAAAGTAAATCTTTTAAGGAATGTCTACAGCAGACTTCTAGGTGTAAGTAAGGTATTCAGACAGTGGTTTTACATTTAAGTCTGGGAAGTGATATATAGGTGTTTGTGCATCTTTGTAGTTATTTTAAAAAACAGCATTTCGACAGATAATCTCAAGAATTTAATATAAGAACCCAAGTTACAGGTTAGAAATTGTCAAAATTATTTTGGAGCCAGTCTGGTTTTTTKACTTTTTTTTTGACTCTTCACATTACTTTTCACCCATAAATTAAGTAGGGAAAATAAAAATTGGTGAGGATGATGCTGAATTTGCTARGGGTTGCTAAAAGTAGATCTGGTGTAGTTATATATCAGCAAATATTACTAAATTTCCTATAGTTACTATTTATTATGGAAGAGAGGAGGAGGTAAATGATCTTCAGGGCTAATTCTGTTCACACCATGAAGACTTAATGGATCTGCATGGGGTGTTCTGGGCTCTGGTTCAGTGTGAATGAACCAGGTGAGCGAGGCAGAGTCTCGGATGAGGAATTTGAAGTCTGGCAAATGCCAAGTGCTCACTTGATGAGGGGAAAGTTTTATTTGTGGGTGAAATCAAAATTGYTGTTCTCTGTATTAGTATTCAAGGGGCTAACACATTGTCTGATATCCCTGTGAGCTGGAAACTTCCATAACTTTCCAGTGGTTAATGGGGTCTGGTATTGTACTGTATCTCTGTCAACCTTTCCTATTTTCTCTCTTTTCTCCTACGTTGGGTCAAAGCTTCTGCGCTGCAAAAGTACTGCAGGAAAATCCTTCGGGAAATCTGCCGATCCTTGGACCTTCTCCTTTCCCGGTTCTTTCTCCTCTTATGCAGAGATCAAAAATTAAGAGCATGGCTGCTGCTGCTGTGTCTGCTGCTATTGCTGTCCGGGCCAGGTAGCCATCAACTTYAAAAAGAATGTTTTATTGGTTGGTTGAGGGAGGTCCCAGTTCACACAAGAATAATTGGTCCCTGGCAGGGTTGTGGAATCAATTCTCTCTTTCACAATAGTGGGCAAGTCATTAGAATATGTCCAAAGCTGCCATGCCCTATTTATAGCTCAGCTGCTCTGAACCTTGGTGAGTAATTCTGCCATTCTGTTCCTCATGATACCTGTTTTACAGTTCAGTTAGTAAATTAACTGTAAATAACATTTGTGTTACRTGAGTGACAAAGAAGAATCTGTAACTGTGAGGAACTTTCTGATGCTTGAAAACAATAGCTTGCTGRGTTCCATCTAAATCTTTACTCTCTTTCTTTTTATGAAGGCTTGCTTAGATCAAACATTTTGGCAAGTTTTTCAATCATCCATTCATATCAGTAAAATATTTCTGAATATGCAAAAATATCCATATTTTTTTATTTATAAATTAACAGATATCCTAATGTACTAATAAATGTTGTACATTAGAAAGCCTACGCCAACCCAGAAGAGATGAGATTGTTTTCCCTTTTTATTTTAGTTTATTATTGGTAAAAATGCATGAAAAAAAAAATTGTTCTTGCACCTCAGTGGGTTGTCTTGTGGATCCCCTGAAGTGTACAACCTCCACTTTGTGGGATTCTTGTTTAGACATAATTCCTGCGTCAATTGTCCTGGGTTCAGTTTCTCCATATAGGCTTTTCAYAAGGGATTTTGAATTTTCAGTGGTCCCAGTGATCTTGAACTTTGTGTGGTCACCTCGTTTGTTTATGGGGTCTTTTTACACACTTGCTAGACTCTTCGAACCTARTGCCTGTCGCTCGCTCCTGGATGCCCTGCTCATCACGCCTGTCGCTAAGCCTCCTCTGCAGGCAATTGCACCCTCCAGGAAGTCCACAAGTGCTCTGCAGTTGCCAAAGAGCCAGAGGTATTGTCCAGGTGTGGTGTGTGGTTGGCACCTAGGACTCACAGGAAACTGGCTGCTCCTTCAAAGCATGTTTCTGTTGTCAGCATGCTTGTGCCTGTCCTGGTCCTTGACATGAGGTCACCTGCTCCAAACCCTGCTGGTTTCCCCTGTTGCAGAAATAATATGTACCGTGGTCCTGCTGATGATGTTTGTGCCAGTCCACCATACTAAGCACAGGTTTCCTTTCCTGGCTGCCTTCGAGTGCCCTCTAACGTGCTTGGTGCTGTTTGTGCTGTGTCATGAACCTCAGAGGGAGGCACTGACACTCTACAGAGAAGGAACAAGAGATTCTGGCTTGAAACCTCTATGCGGGTGAATTATTTGCCACAGTTCAACTAAGCGGCACGTTAGGCTGTTTTTCAAAGCTCACTTTTAATGTACAAAATCAAATAACTGGCATGCAGTCCAGCAAATGACTATTTTAAAAATTAATTGCCATCTAGGCCCTTTGTTCCAGCACTGCTTCTGTTCAGTGCACAGGACTGTTTGTTCTCCTTTCCTGACCACAGTGACAGTAACGCTCRCTTCAGCAGAAAGCTGCTTGTATGACTTCAGCTGCGCAGATAGAAGTCTACCTCTGTGTTAAATTGTGCTAAAGAAGAAAATAATCTGTGGGGTTTTGTGTACCTGTTTTCTTTTTTCATAAGCGTTAGACCCTTCTAGAGATAAGGCCCAATTATAAGTAGAGCTGCGATCCACTTGATGTGGAAACTTGTGTTGAGTAACAAGTGTTAGTTCTTTCCCTCCTGCTTCATGGCTTCCAAGCTGACCTCAGTCACTAGAAAAGACTAAAGTAGCCCTAACCTCAGGGAGGGGAAATAATAACTTACAAGATACCAACAATCTTCAGTTGTATCAGAATTTCTAACTTGTAGYATATCCACTTTAAAAGGAAAAGGAGCATTAACAGTAGCAATATAATGCGACTTGAAATACTGATTCTATTTTTGCCGCTGAATGATACTAGAAAACCTTTCATGTACACATTCAAAGRGAAAACCTCCTGAGTTTTGATACCTGTCTGTGCACTACAGGTGAAGTCCAGGAAGTGCCATCAGCAAGATTTATTTAGCTGTGGTGTTTGTTTGGTGATACTTTAGTAGAGCCAGTAACGATGGTGAAAAACAATTCTCTGACTTCCCTTTCCTTTTTTTCCTCTCTCACTAATGTGCATTGTTTATGACAAGTGAAGGTAGATTGTTACATGAATGGAAACTCTCCTTCCTGAATCTGAAATTTGCTTTATGTTTTCACTGTACAGGKGGAAAATTCTCCTGGTCTTAAAGCTTTATTTTTGGAGTTGCACTTGGTGTTGACATTCCCAAAGTGGCTCTGTTCATTTGCTGTCCCTTACAAATATGTGGGGCAGTGTGTTGGGGAAGGCAGGAAATATTGGAGAGCTTGTTTCATTCTTCCATGGTCTAGTTTTTGGAGGGGTTTAATCTGTTTTGCTCTTCCAACTGACATCTGGACAGGGAGCCAGAAGGTATACTGGGAGCACAGAGACCATATAAGCCTGCCCAACACAGTGTATCTGTCTTAGATATATCAAGATCCAGGTTGAATGACTTGAAATAAACAACCGTGGATTATTAGGGGGTTTAAAAGGTAACTTTTAAACTTGTGAAAAATTACTTTTCTCTTAAGCCATTCTAATAGCCAGGTTACTGCCACAAGGCTGTGGCATAAGGTTATAAAGGAAGCATATGATTTTCAGGCTGATAGAGACATCCCAAACARGATATGACCTAAAATTCTGGACACACAATGTAGCAGTGCAGTTAGTCTGGGAATGCTCTGCATCAACTGTGTTTCAAAAAGGGTTTTTCCAGGAATACATGGTGTTACTCTGAAGACAGCATACAACATAAAAGGCTAATGATTTCTGGTTTCCATATTATCGTCTTAGTCCTGAACTGTCTGCACCGGTCAGGAAGGAGAGGTTACCAGTAGATGGAGCCACAGAAATGAAGCTTTGTGCTGTCTTTTCTTGAATAAAGTAGCACAGCCTGTACTGCATGGCTGGAGAAACATGTAGGAAAAGAAGATAAAAGAAGATAAATTTAGTGTCAGTAACTGCATATTCTCATTGAATTTCAACAAAGATCAAGGAAAACGAGTTCTGTCAGGAAAAAATACTAGATTTGGGAGAAGTGTGCCCATTGAGTGTGAAACTAGGTATTAGATGTCTTTGCATTACAAGCTGTCTAGTGRCATATTGTGATATGTAAACGACTGTAATGCTGAAAAGTTGTTTTAAGTGGCAGCTCACTTCATCCCTCAATAAAATAGTTGATAAGAAAGATCTAGAATCTTACATCCCATGACTAAAGAGATGAGTGTACGACACAATATAATAGACTACCTTGTTCAAAAGAACATTTGGCTCAACCAAGAGAGCCAAGTAAATAAACCAGTTTGGAGTTTTTTTGGCTCTTGATTTTATAACTTTCATGAAAAGTTAGTGAATCTATTTCACCAAGGTAGCTTCAGCTTCTTTGCATTATCTCTGGGGACAAACTGAGGAAGGTTGTAGCTACAACAAAAACAGGGTGTTGATTCTGCTCTGGAGGAAGGTTGCTCTATAAATATTTCCCTTTTATCCCTCTCACTTCACTGTTTCTGCTCCAAAAACCTGGAGCAGTTTTAAACTACTCTGTACTGGGTAGCTGCCAGAGTACTTGACCTTTTTCTGACTTAGTCACTGGCCTGAGGTGGTGCTGAACATCCACACATTTTCTTCCCCAGCAGACTTCTCTGTTATTGGCTTTYTTTGCTTTATAACAGCCATGCAATCTTTCACTAAGCCAAGTGTTTCATCCTGATGGTAACAGGGATAGCCTTGAGTTTATGGGGCTGGTGTGTTTTTTAACAAATGACACATATTCAGCACAGGAAATGGTGTATGTAATATTTTGCATGTTCAAGAATTGGAGCTCTGCCTCAAAATTAAATCTCAAGGTAAAAACACTGTGAAATTTTGGGAAACATGAGCAAGAATAGGTGTTGACAGCCCTTTTGGTTTTGGCATGCCTTTTGGTTTATCTTTCTGATACTATGCTACATTCAACTCCTTCAAAAAAAATGGTAGTTTGGCCTTGTGAGATGAGCACTGGTGTTAACTCAGACAATACTTATTCTGAAAGGTGCTTTAAGTTATTTCTGTGTAGAGAGCACTGCTTACAGAAGGGTTGCATACTCCCTCCCTGTAATTTGATACAGAAATACCTCCACCCAGATGACTTTCTCTGCTCTTTCTTTCTGTTATTTTGAATTTCTTCTTTCTTGCAAGATACTGGAGTGCSGTTAGGTTAACATGAAATGTAAACACTGACTGAGACCATGGGGTTATAGTAGGGGTGGGAACAAGGTCAGCACTCAGTGCTTCTTGCCCTCTGTTTCTCTATTGTTACATCTGAAAGCCCTTGCAAAAAGCCGTGTGTGTTTCCCCTGTTCGTGGACTTTTGTCATCATTCTCATACCTACCTTTTCCTAGTTTCCTCTATGTATACCTTCATCTATTGTGTATTTTGATACAGGACAAAATATGTCACATGATTTGTCTGACTTAAACAATTGAGACCTGAGATCCAATTCACAGCATTCCTGGCCATCTGAAGAGAGTATTTACAAATTGTCCCTTAGACAATACATGACCTGTTCTGTCAACAGATTTCCTCACACCACAGGGGACCATTCCTTACTCCCTCAGTTCTGCACAGCAGAACAAGTTAGCTTAACAAGCTSCTTAAACAATCATTTAAATCCAGAGCACACTCTTAGGAAAATACTGATGTACCAGACTGAGCTGAGGGCTCAAGTGATAATGTTTACAGATGGATAGCCGATATCTTGGGCTTGCATGAGGAGAAAGTGCATCCAGATCCCTTAGACCTGCTTAGGAAAGTCCAAGARACTTGGCCCTTGTTATCATTTTAGTGCTCTTAGAAGTTACATGATGGCAAGCTGTATTCCTTTTCAGCTAGGATCATAGCTCCACCTTTAACAGATAAAACATAACAGATTTTTAGCTTCCCTAAAGTTTGCRTGAAGAAATTCTGGGTAGCATTATATAGGAGTTTTCTTGGAAGGATGGAGGGCAGTTCAAGCATCTACAGCTCCAGACTGTGCGTTTTTCTTCTGGGTTTTTTTTTTTTTGTGTTGGGTTTTTTTTTTGGTTTGTTTTTTTTTTGTTTGTTTGTTTTAGGCAGAGGGAGGGGAAGCTCATCAAAACCTCTAAATACACTAGGAAGGATTTTTAGTGCAATTTTTTTAAAACGTCTCTGAAATGTGTTCTGCCTGGTCTCTGAAAAACTGGTGCTTATATCATGCGTGGCCTGGACCCACTTCTTCCCCCACAGGAGGAGGAATTACTCCTTGCTTTTTCTAGGGTTTTTTGCCGATTTCCACAGTGCTTATGTTGATCAGGAGACAGGGTAAGTCTAAGGAGCCTTTTGTGAGCTCTTGATAAAGTTTGCACTGTCACTGGAGCCCTTTGAGTGTCCCCAAGCCTCAGACTGGCTCCCCAGAAATTTGTTTTCCATACATGTGCTTACTCTGATAAAATAAGGCTGCACTGTGTGGTAGGAGTTATTCTCCATGGAATTTCAGGAGTGTCTGTTAAGTATAGGCTAGCATATGTAAAAGAGAGAGATGTGTCTTTGGCTTGCTTCTTTGCCAGACATTTTTTTTTGGCTGTTTTTGCAATCTGTTTCCCTTGAAACACTTCCAAAATTATTTTTATTAATTTTTCCGTAGCYTATTAATCAAACTTCTTATGGGTTTTCAGGACACAAGACTGAGTCTCTCAGGYTCATGTTTCAGCGTTCTTTCATTCTTGCAGTGTAAAAACCCCTTGCCCAAAGCCTGAGCATTCACATCTTGCAGGAAATGTTGTCTTGCAGGGATGCAACTCTTGGTAGCATTAGTTTTCATCGTGGAAAACTTTGATTTTTGCTGAAAGTAGTCATCAGGTGGAGAAGGAGTAGTTTAAGAGTTATGGAACAGAGTTAAAATGTTAATGCTAAAGGCAGTAGGTAGTGTGTCATTAATAATTGTACAAGTGTTCTGACATGGAAATGTTGTTGACCTGAACCTGACCTGTGAGTGTCAGCTGGGAAGGCTGAGAAAGTACTCACACACAACCTGGTACATACATAAGGTTTATCATTCCTCCCTCAGTTTCCTAGTGGCAACACTGAAAAGCAGATGGGAATTCTCTTCCATAACTTTTTTATTTTCTTAGATTTCAGTATATTTGTCTCTTCAAATCTTGTATTTTCTAGATAGTGAAACTTGGGTCAACATTGTACAATATCATAGCGAGTTGCAAAGTTTTTGTAGGGCTAATTGTGGGCATTGTAATGCCACTTGCACAATAAGTGTGCTTCTGGAAGGGTCCATCACTATATTTATGAAGTTGGGTAAAAATAATTGGAGTTTGAGTGTTTCTCAGTGTAGAAGGAGCAGGAAGTTAAATGTTGAGGCACTGACTTTGCAGCATGAATTTGAAGTTTAACATTCATAAGGCTGAATCTCTTATGAGGGAGATGCTGCTGAGGGTGCAGCACATCTTTGAAAGTGAGACAAAGGTGAATCTGTCTTTCACATGAGAATACTGCACATGTGCTCCCAGCCAGCTGTGTGATTGGAGGCTGTAATTCTGGAAAAAATGKGCATTATTTCCTGCAGCCTACCATAGCAGTATCACACAGTAGAGACTTGCCAAGCTGCAGTAGCAGCCTGCCTRTTGAATGAACAGGCTGTGGCAGTGGCTTGAGTTCATTCAATTCTTGCTTTAAAGAAGCAGACACACAACACAAAGGGTGTCCAAGACCTGTCAGAAGTCTTGCCCTGAGGCCAGCAAGATGCTCTCTGTCAGAGTGATGGCTTCAGGCTTTTCTCTTGGGAAGCTTCTTGCTTYAGGCTTCTGGCACATAAGCTTCCAGAGGTGATAAAAAAAAAAATCAGAGGTAGTTTATACCTGAATTTATAATTGTCTTTAGTTTGGGACCATTAGGATTTCACTTAAGTTCTAAATGAAAGCCAAGGTGTCTCCAACAATCTGTTGCTTCAGGAACTTGCATGCCTTCACAAGCCTTAGCATTCAACYACAAAAATGGCAGTGGTAGAGTTTCCAGTCAGCATTGCAATGAGYCCTGTGGGCCCCCATCAGAGTCTGTTTCCTCGCCATCTTCTCCCTGGAGGGTAYCTTTTCTGCTTGTCTGAAATCCATYTTTGCTTGTCAAGTAGCCTTTGCTGTAAAAGATAGCTGCTGACTCAGGAGGATTTTCTTATTTCTGATAGATTATTTGTATTATTTATGATGTATATATTCCAGACAAGGGCAGTAAAGAGGTGCTAGACTTGAAAGTTATTTGACCAGCACCAAGGAGCCTCTTGGATGGAGAAGGAGGAAACTTCCTTTTTTTTTRGCACCAACAGTGTTAATGGCAAATTCTTAAAGTTGCAGTGGGGCTCTGRATTGGAGTGGGTTTGATTGGGTAGCACTGGTAACAATAAAGTTGCAGAGTTGCACTTTCTTCTTTGGGGAAGCCAGTCCTAATCTACCTTGTCATCTTCAACCACTGAGCTGCTTTTTCACTTCAGAGGGTGCTTTCCTATCCTTTTCCTTTCAATCTGCTATAGCACTTTTATGCCATATATCTCCACTGCGTCAAAATCTGCCTGTAAGAAAGACTTGGAGTCTGTAAGGAATCTAACATGTACCTTCAATGCCTTCATTTGAGCTATACAAATGCCTTTAAATATCTTTTTGACATTTGAAGATAATGGAATGCAAAGTCTCACTTTGTGCTTCACTGGGCTTGTGCACAATGCGTGCAGCAAATCCGCCAGGTCAGCACTGCTGTTACCAAAAGCCTAGAGTTGAAATAGTTGTTACTCATTAAAATGAGCATCCATATTTATTCTCTAAACTGTGAATATCTCTTATATCCCTTATCTGGAAGAAGATGCTAAATASAGGAATTATTTACCCTGTAAATCTAGAGACAAAAAAAAAAAAAAAATCAAGGTGATGAACCTTTGTTTTGGCCCCATGGTGTGTTCAAGTTCTTGGATGTCATATGGGCAAGGCAATTCTGTGCATGTGCAACACTTGTATACTAAAAATAGCTCGTGGATTTTACTTTATGAACTTGGCATRATCTGTAATTCTGGGAATGACCCTGGTGAAATATGCGTGGTGCACAYGTGCTGTAAATTTGTTTTTCTTCAATAAAGGAAAGAATATAAGGCTTCTAGTGTATTACTGATGAGTTTCCAAATTGTGCAAAATATGTTTTTGGAATGGTATTTCACATATGTATTTGAGTGTACTTCATGGTGTTGTTAATTTCTTGGTTTTGGGGTCCTTTGTTTTGCAAATGACCTTCATTTACAATTATTCCTCTACCTTGAGTATTTTAAATGAAAATATTTGTTTTCAGCTTTCCAAAGGCAAGTGAGAAATGGAAAACTTTCATGCAGCATAATTAGTTAAGCTACTGACACTATGTGAATTGTGATTAAGTTCACTTTTCATTACGTGTTTCTTTAAAGAGCTGAAATAGTTCTGCCAACCTTTAAAATATAAAAGCAGCTGTAAACTGCTCTAGGGAGGCAATATAAAATATTGTGCATATTGTTTAATTACTAAAGAAACTTGCAACTCCTTTAAAATGAAAATTGTGGAGCGATTTAATTGACTGTATTGACTTTTGGCAGGCCTTATTCAAGTGTCCAGTTCTTAAAGAGCAGCTTCAGTGTGTAACTAGCACRGCATTGTTGGTGATGACAGAGCAATGTGTGCTGCTTTGTTGCGCCGGGTTGAGGGAATGTCACTCCCCATCTCCATTTCAAAGCTCTCCTGTTCTAGCAAGAGGCATTTATTTACTCTTCCCTCGTTTCTGACCAGTGATTCCCTGGAAGCTGCCCAGCCAGCCCCGGTGAGAAGTGTCCCTGCCTGCCAGGACAGCGTGGATGTGAGACCTGCTCCTGCCAACTCCGCACCTGCCGCAGTCCTGAAGCCAGCGGCACCCCTGGGTTCTGCCAAGGGCTGGCAGCCTCCAAACCAAGCAGGTAACTTCAGAGAGGCCTTTTCTTCTTCACCTAAAGACCTTTGGATGSCTCGGGAAAACAAACTTCACCTTGGGTGTGAAAACAACAGGCTTCAAATGGCTGTTTGTGGATTTTGAATACAGKCCAGTTTGCTTGCAAAAGAGGAGAAGAAAAACCAATTTAGTCATTTTAGCAAACCAGTAGCCCTTTGTGAGTAGCCTCAAAGATGTGATTGGTTTCACAAACAAACAAAATCAGATGCCTCACACCTCTATTAAAAGCATTTATACCAATCAATTATATAWGTACACCTCACAGTTTCAGCTTGGYGCTTCCCATGTGACTGTAGATTCAAGCATATTCCCTGCTCTTTCAGGTAGGAATATCAACATATGTTGATATTAWCAATAGACATGTGTTTTCCAAGTGATCTTTTCAGAAGTACTAGCTCATTATATATATAAGGCTRAAGAGTTAGCGTGTTTATGTATTTTACACATGTATGTTTTATTTGAGCAGGATGCCAGATTATTGAGTGGGTTCATGTTACAGAGATTTGTGTAAAAGTTCTTGCAAGGACAATTCACATAGCTGCTACCTYTGAATGTACTTTGGTGGTTTCTGCCCCTTTGAACCCACACCAGAATGTCTTCTATCTGGAAAGCATGCTGTGTTCTTTATGAGCACTCCTGTGTTATTCCATAATACAGATATGTTTATTTGTGTAGCTGTGTACTTTTGTTTTCATAGTATTACATGCAGTAGTAACTTGGGGTAATCTTTTAAGTTGAATCAGTCTTTGTTGCTGAATTAAACTTGAGTAGTATTTTCAAAATATCTGGGAAATCTGTATTATTAATTAAGCTTCAACTTCAGATTTTTCTTGCTAATATGAGATGAATATTTTTGATTCTCTTTCTGACAAGGTCTATTATGTTAAGTAGCTCTGTTTGTTTCCTTTTGTTCTACTGTTAAAGGTTTTCTCTCTTTAGAAGTTTATCCAGTTCAAAAAAATGGAACTGTAGAAGCCCTGGCATAAAAATAAAGAAAAAACATATGGTGTTAATGCTGCATGTTTTATACTGGCTTTGGCGCTTCTAATGAAATGAAACAGTTTTGCTATGGTTAGTAACAAGTTGATGCATTTTAGTTGGAATGTGTAGTTCTGTAGGAAGCCTCAAGATGGCAATGCACTGTCATTGCTGTGCTTGCCTGGCAAATAGCGAGTATTATTGAGATAAAAACTTMWTWAAATTTAAATCAGTTTAATTCTAGYATTGTTTTACTTCTTTGAGTTAGCTGGCATTACAGGGGGGAAAACTCCAAATTGAGCAATAACAACAGAAGCCCCAACTCTTTTTAAAGTTGCATTTTTGATAGCATGTGTGCTTAAGGCAAATTTTTTTGGGAATGTGATAATCCTGCACTTTTGTAAGTCTCTGATTGTGCTCCATATTTGATATAGATTTCTATCTCACCAACTGATTAATTATTTCACTTGCATCGAAACCACCCATCAGCTTGGGGTTTCTGTAGTACCACACTCATTTTTAGTACGTTGGTAGGTGTTTCACTGCTAATCCTACTAGCATACTTTAGTATTAATAGGAGTCAAACGTTTGAAATATCCCTTTTTTTTTTTTTCTTTTAAGTTGTACATGAAGGAGAAAGATTTAGAGAGATTAATTAAACTACACTTGATTCTGTAGCACTCTGAAAATCTATGCCCATGCTCTTGCATAATGGGAAAATTTCTTTTTTTACATCAGAGATACCAAGCAGGTAGGTAGAGGGAAAGCCAGACAGAGAATTTTTGATTGTTATGTTCCAGAATAGGTTAAAGAAAGCTTAGGAAGTTCATATTGTTAGAAGCTGGTGGAAAGAAATGGTCATGAGGATGTCAGCTTTGTGCTGTGCTGATGTACGGTTCTGAGATGCACTGCTGAAGTTCCAAAGAAGAAAAGTTKTTATCTCTCCCCAGAAATATTGGGGGAGCCAGAAATAAAAGCTGTGGGAGAAAGGGGCATTGAAGACTCAGAGTTCCCTAAAATTGGAAAGTGCAGAGAAGATGATGCAGCAGCRTGAATGGCAACTGCCCAGGAATTAACAGGGTGGGGAGAAGGTGCAGTGTCTCAGGTGCCACAGGAGCTTCAGTTAAGATTTGCATCTTAAGAACATGAAAAGTTTTCCCATTGCCATGGGAAACCAGTCTGTGCTTGTCTCTTGTAGGTGGAACAGCAGTCTGACATGTAAAACTGTTTCAATAATTGAATATYTTGATAAAATTAGATGTTGAAGAAAGACTGTAAGTGTTTCAGAGAATGCTTGGACTTCAGTCATTAATTCWGCTGTTTGTTTGCAGTCTGAGAGCATAAAGTTTTCTTTAGAGTAAAATTGCCAGTGCTCCACAGGCCAAGCAAAATTTGGCTTCATAGCCATAGGCCTGACAAAATTTTAGACAARAAGACCCCTTTGATTTCGTATCGGAGGTCTACCTTAGGAAATAATTAGAAGGAAGATATAATCTTATGTAAATGTATATGAATATCCTGTTCATAGCAGAAATGTATTGGGAGCACAGTTTTGTAGCTCTGATACCACTCACCCTTCTAATGAATATTGTACATAACRCCAAGTTGTTTCCAAAGCAAAACAGGCGTGTCACAGGATTTTGTTTGTGCCTGGGGAAGCTGTAAGATGCTGATTGATGGTGTGGCATGAATATTACCAGTGATTTTATGAGGTTGTCTGACTACAGAGATACGTCATTTGGGTAGACAGCATCTTTTCAATTATTAGCTGGAATAGCTGGAATATCTCTTTCTTGGATAGGCCACACAGAGAATACCTTCCTTTTTTTTTTTTTTTTTTTTTTTTCCTTCAGCTTGGGGGTGTGGGATGATTTGTTGATTTTTTTTTTCCTTTGAGATTGTGCAGAGATGCCTGAAGATGTGAGAGGGATTTTGTTGGAACTGAGGTGTGAGCTATTTAATGGCTTGGCAAGAAGATGGTCTAAAATTGAATGGATGAGATGGGGAACCTGGAGATGCTTCAGGCAGTGGGTTTTTCTCTCTACAGAAGTCAGTCATGATCCAAGCAGTCTCACAGGGATAGCACCTTTGGACCTAAAGTTCTTGGGGGATGTTCATGTAGTACCCATGAGCACTACTATRTTCGTTGTCCACCGTGATGGTTACAGAGGTTTTATTTCTCTTTGGAATAAAATCCTGATACTACAGGATTCCTCAGTGGTTCTTTAGAGGAAGTGAGGGGTGGCTGCCTCATGCTTTCTTTTAAGGCATGGGTAAGAAGCTCAATAAASTTAATTCTTTGTCTATTGTTGAAGCAAGTAAAATCGTTGAAAAAAGTAAAAAAAAAACCCTGTTACTGTGTATTATGTGTACAGACTGGAATTTATAATACCTCTCACTTCATTTTTGTTGAGCTATGAAGCTCTACTCACCCACCAGAGGCAGAAGCTTTTTACATTATTATATTAAATTAAAAGAATGAAATAACCCAGAACATCCTAGCTACATTGCAGTGACTTATTCTACTATTTGATAACTRTTACTCTACACTTACACAACATTGCTCAGCCGAGGAACCCCAAAGCATTTTCTAGTCCTGGGCAAGGACACGGTGCACACACAGGAATGGCTTAGACTCACCACTGCCATGCAGCCACCTCATGGKTGAAAGATGACACTGCTTGTCAGCATGCTGCAACATTCCACGGCAACTTAAAAGGAAGGGAATAGCACCATGGCAAATTGGAACTGCTGGGACAATTTAGGAAGGTGTAATTGCCCAGTGAGCACAGCTACACCAGCTGGAGTTAGTCCAGGAGACAAACTGTTCTTGTAGAAAGTGTGATGGTCAGAAGTGGTCAGGGCTTCCAGTGTTACATTTCTCACATGAAATTGCCTTCTCTTTCCTGGATTTTCCAAACGCTGTTGCTGTGGGGTGAGCTGCTGGTGCATACAGGCTGTGTGCCAGTGCCAGACCCTGCTGGGACAAGCAGGAGCTGGGCAGGCAGCATCCYGCTTTGCTTGCTGAGGTCCTGTGGGATGGCAGGGGGCCTGTGGGGAGTTGTTACAGCTGGTGGCCAGAAAGGCTGGTTTGCTGCTTGGAAAGGAGGGTTTCAGTGCAGTCAGTGCCCTTTGTTCCTCCTAGGCTTAGCTGAGTTGGAAGAATGGGATGGGGAAGGTTTGTGGGAGAAGCGTTCAAAGCTTATGTTTTTTTAAGTGACCGTTTACTCACGTGCCAGTTTCCTTATTCCCAGGGTTTCTGTCAGCCTGGTATCACTGGGATATGTAATCCCCTTCCCATAGARCTGCTAGGGAATGTCAGCATATCCTGCAATGTGCACAACTGTCAGTTGCCTAATCCTCARTGAGCACATGTGTTAAGCACATGCTCCCTTCAGCAAAGGGAACACACTTGGAAACTGACTGCAAGTACAGAAAGATTGCTCCCCAGACAATTTTGTTTTGAAAATTCTTCTGTTTCCTTGAAGTTCTTTTCATGTACTTGGTAGCCTTGCATTTACTGCGTCTGGAGTTATCCATAGCCTTCTTGCTGTATTTTCTTTTTTATATCCCACAATATTCCCACAATAATATTAGAATTTTAAAAGCAGAAGAAAACGCAAGCCTGCTCCTAGACATGACCTGACATCCTGCTCTACTCGCAGTTTGAGTCTTTGTTTCCTTATTCTGCAACTTATTTATGTAGAGAAAATGGGATATAAATGCAGACTGTATCAAACTGTGGAGTTTGGCCTCAGGTCAAACAGTATGAAGCTGTGGAGAGGGGGAATGCACTGAGATACGTTGTGCTATCACAAAATGCTTGTACTGCTATGAAATCCTTAGGGGATTAAGGCATCCCAAAAAGGGATGGACTGCAGCACTTTCTGTCCTTGTCACCTTTGCTTTTCTGTGTTTYGTTTGTTATTGCTCCAGCCCCTATATCAATTGTGCAGTCTACCCTGACTGGGTAGGTTAGGTTGATGGCTT